GACTTACAAGCCTTCTAGTGTGATGTTTCTGACTATTCCTTTGTCTCCCTCTCCAGTGTCTACTCTGTGCTGCCCGGTCAGGGAAGTGCCGAAGTCCCGTCAATTATTTTTTAATGTGATAAATTTCCTGTCTTGTTGCCTCCTTCTGGAGCTTTCTTAGAGTGAATATCGTATTTTGTTTACATTAACGTTGCTATTTTGGGGGTGCTGTCTTACCTCTCCATCAATGTGATTCTCATACAGAGTTGTCAGTCAAGGAACACCCCCACCCCCCTCCACCGACATAACTTCTACCATGCAAATGCATAGTTCATGCAGTCAGGACAAGTTACACTTCACTGAGCAGGATCACAGAGATGGCCCAAAGCAGTCATCCTATCACAGTGGCCAAAGTGGTCCTTTTTCTTTTGTTCCCCTATTTTGATGCAGGATCCTAAACCACTGGGGTCTTTTCAAAGTAAATATCCATTTTTTGAAATGGGGGGAAAATCAGCCCTATTTAGTTGTAGGAGTGTGGGCATAAAGTCTGTTGTTATAGAAACTTGGTGAACATAGAATTATTATTAAAATGTGTAGTTAATAACATTGCCATCTTACAGAAAATTATTGTTGTTGTTAGACAGCGTTAAGTCAGCTCCAACTCACAGTGACCCTAAGCAAATAGCATGAAACCCTGCCCGGTTGTGCGCCATCGTCACAATTGTTACACGTGAGCTCATGTTGCACCCACTGTATCAACTCATCTCATTGTGGGGCTTCTTTTTTGCTGACCCTTTACTTTTCTAAGCACTATGTCTTTTTCCAGAGACTGGGCCCTCCAGAAAACAAGTCCAAAGTACATGAGACAGAAGCTCATCATCCTCACTTCTAAGGCTCACTCTCATTCAGATTGTGCTTTTTCCAAGACAAATTTGTTCTGGCAGTCAATGGTACCATCAGTATTCTTCGCTAACACCATAATTCAAACGTATCGATTCTTCTCTGGTTTTCCTTATTCACTACCTAGCTTTCACTTGCATAAGAGAAGATTCAAAATACCATGGCTTGGGTCAGGTGCACCTTAGTCCTCAAACTGACATCGCTACACTTTAAGACTTTAAAGAGGTCACTGCAGCAGATTTGCCCAATGCAATACATTGTTTGATTTCTTGACTACTACTTCTTAGTGTGGCACCACAGGATAAACACTGGACCTCAAACAAGGTTGGTCAGTAGTTCCAGCTTACCAGCTGTTCCTTCGAAACTCTATACAGCGTCGCTATGAATCAGAACCAGGTCTAACAGCACTTGATTAACAACAAATTCCATGATCATTGATTGTGGATCTAAGTAAAATAATCACCATTTATCATATTAATTGGTTCAGTTGTGAGGATTTTTGTTTTCTTTACATCAAGTTGTAATCTACACTAAAAGCTGTATTCTTTGATCTTTATCAGCAAGTGCTTCAAGTTTTCTTCCCTTTTACTGAGACTTCCTCCAATCCTGATGCCATATTCTTATTAATATATTCCAGTTTCTCAAATTATTTGCTCAGCACACAGACTGAATAAATACAGTGAAAGGATACAACCCTGACGCACACCTTTCCTGATTTTAAACCATATTCAGTATTCCCTTGCTCTGTTAGAATGACTGACTCTTGGTCTATGGACAGGTTCTGCATGAGTACAAGTAAGTGTTCTGGAATTCCCATTCTTCACAATGTTATCCCTACTTTGTTATGATCCACACAGTTGAATGACTTTGCAGAGTCAATAAAACACAAGTAACCACCATTCTGGTATTCTCTGCTTTCATCCAAAATCCATCTGGTATCCCTTGTTCTACATCCTCTTCTGAAGCCAGCTTCTGAATTTCTGGCAACTCCCTGTCAATGTGCTGCTGCAACTGTTTTTGAATTATCTTCAGCAAAATTGTACTTGCATGTGATGTTAAAGTTGTTAGATAATTTCAACATTCTGTTGGGTCACCTTTCTTAGGAATGGGCACCAATATGGACCTCTTCTATTCAGCTGGCCAGGTGCCTGTCTTCACAATTTCTTAGCAGAGGCCAGTGAATATTTCTAGGGCTTCATCAGTTTGTTGAAATATTTCTATTGTAATCCATCAATTCCTGGAGGTAGAAGGGGAGGATAGACCAAAGAAGAAGAAGAGAGAAAAGTAAAACGAAGAAAAAAACATGAAAAAGGGAAAAAATTAAACTGGCACAGTATGGGTGCTAGCTACCAAACACAGCTGCGATGGAAATGTGGTATTCACGCCGTCATTGACTAGGGAGGGCCAGGAGCAAGCACTAGTCAGTGCACAGGTGGCAGGAGGTGGTATGGGAGTGGGAAACCCACTCAACTGGATTAAAAAAAGACGTGGGGGGAAGATGTAGGAAAAAACCCCAAAAAAAAACAAGAGTTAGGGGAGAGGGAAGAGCTGAGAATAAAGGAAAAAAAGAACAAAAAATATAGTGCCAAGTGTTAGCTGCCAAACACATCTGCAGGGGAAGCACAGAGCTCACTCTGGGGGAGTACAACCCCGGCCAAGAAGGGCGGGAGTTGGTTCAGCAACTAGCTAAGGGTGGGATGGGAGCAGCACCTGCTCCACAGGATCAAAAAAGAAAAGAAAACGGGCAAAGGGGAAGGAAGACAAAAAGGGGAAGAAGAAAAGAAAAGTGGGGAGAGGGAAGCACTATGAAAATTAAAGGGAAAAAAGTTACAAAGCACTGGCAGGTGGGTGGAGCTTGTGGGAGGCTGTGTGAGGTAACCGGGAAAGTCACACCTCTCTGGTTGCTGATCACTGGATGTGCATGCTGGTGTAGTCCTGGGCAAGCAGAGCTGGTGATCTGGTTCCTGCTCCAATGGAAAGCTGGTTGTGATCATTCAAACGGCCATGTTGTGCCAGTTGGCGTTTAACACTCTTTGTTCACTGTTTTCATTTAGCTGCTTTCTCTCATCAGTGTTCAATCTACATTTTTAGCCTTTTTCTTTGAAGCTCTAGAGTTCAGGATTGTCATCTGTGTGTTTCACTTGGCTTCTTGAGTCTTTGTTGTAGAGGGTCAGGGTAATGTATCTGCCTAAACTATCATCTTGGCTCCTCTCTCCTTTAAATTGGCTCTTTAACCTCAGTGAACATCAGAAACACCTTGGGAAATCTATTAACATCCTGAGCTCTACTCGCAGAGATTCTGATTCTGTCAGTGTGAGTAGGGGGGCTCCAGGACCAGCGTTATAAATAAGACCACCAGACACTGGAAAACTTTACCTTAAAATAAAACTCCATGACACCCTTCCAACTGAATCCTCAGATCTTCCTTGATTTCTGTTCTTTCTGAAGTTGCTCAGTTAGTTTATCAAAACTGTGAGTCACCAGTATTTTCCATTTTCCCCATTCTACATGATTTCCTCTTTTTTTACGTAAGTGTGAGTCAGTGTGTGCTGCATGGAATCAGTGTGCTGTTCAGAATCAAAGAACACTATTGACACTTTGTAAGGCTCAGTTTTCTCCACTGTAAAATGGGGGGAAATATTGACCGCTGCTTGAGATAGTCATTGAGACAGATGAGAACTAACATAAAAGATTATTGGGGACTCTCACTATTATATTTGGAGTCCTGGTGTTGTGCCATAGGATAAGCACTGGACTGCTAACTGTAAGGTAGGTAGTTGAAACCCACCAGCTGCTCCTCAGAAACCCTACAGGGGTTGCTATGAGTCGGAACTCACTTGATGGCACTAACAACAACACTTTTATTTTTGTGTTAGAAAGAAAACTATGGCATTTTATGTATACAAAGTTATTAAAAGATTTGCTTCCAGTTATATGCAATCAAATATTTTATAACTGCCCAACTACTGACTGTGTCCAGAAATAAAAATTGTTACAAATACATTTGCACTAAATCGTCTTCTGAGAAACTGCAGTTCTAAAAAAATACCACCAGGGGGAGATGTGTACAGTAAAGGAAGGCATGAAATCTGGACTGAGAGAGTCAGAAATTGGTTCATCTACCGCAGGGGCTACTGTTGCTGTTAAGTGCTAAAATGTGGGCCATACAAAATGATCAACTTAAAAATTAGTCTGCTATATGTGGTCAAACATTTAATTAACTCATGACAGCAATGAACAAAAAATGTGATGGCCGGAGTTCTGGTATGACACTGCAGGTCAATGTGCTGAACTGCAAAGTCGGTTGAACTTCTATACAGGGTTGCTATGAACCGGAATCGACTCAACAGCACTTAACAACAACAATATGATGGCCTGGTGAGGCGCTGTGGGATAATGTACTGGACTGCAAGATCGGTTTGAAACACAAGGTTGGCAGTTCAGAGTCACTAGCTGCTCCTCAGAAACCCTATACAGGGTTGCTATGAGTTGGACGGCACTTAAAAACAGCAACAATGTGATAGCTAGAACTGCAGTTCCCTTGGCAGGGCCAGACCAAATGATTTCCTGGGCCTTATGTGGCCTGAGGGCCAGATGTTCCCCACCCCTGATAATGATTAAAACCAAAACCAAATCACTATTCCAACTCATATCGACCCTATAGGACAGAATTGAACTGCCCACAGGATTTCTAAGGCTGTAGATCTTTACAGAGTAGATGGCCACATCTTTCTCTCACGGAGTAGCTGGTGGGTTTAAACCATCAACCTTTAGGTTAACAGTCTACTGGTAGCAATGATATTTATTAACAGGATTAATCACCTATTTCTTGTCAGTATGGAATATCTGAAACAACTGAAACTTCAAAACATATTATACTTTCAGTTACTTATGTTTGTAATTTAGCAAATTCACTCCTCTGAAATTCCCCACAAGCACTATAAACTTTGTGTGGCTATGTTTATAAAATTATGATGTGGCATAAAGGCTTAAATAGCTTAAATAAAAGATGGAATATCTTATTAAACCTTAATTATTGTTTACAAGGAGGAAATAAACTTGACAACAAATATTCTACAATTGTACAGTATCTTTCCCCCAAAGAAGTTCAAAGCTCATTATAAAGATCAGAATTATTAGAAGCAAATTAGAAACATCACACACAGGAAATGAAGTGTGAAATTACCCTCTATTCATCTTGTACAGCAGATCCCTTAAGAAATCACTTCTATTAACTTTACAGCTTGAACGTTAAACAGGAGTAAATGCCAACCAACATTTCTATTTTATTGCTTGCTGGTGCACTAAATGTTTCCTTATGTAACTAAATTAAAATGAAAGTCTTGGGGTTGCTTTGGAAAAAGAACTATGAAGTTTGATGTTTTAAACTCAAAAGTCAAACTTGTATGAATACATTGTATATTTACTAATTATTCACAATTAGTCTTCAGAGTTGGCCTTCATGCACATCCCTAACCCATTTCCAAGGTAAGACAGTTGAGTGCAATTAACTTTCTATACTGAGGGAAGGGGAAAGAGTTACAGTTTTCATGCTCTTTCAAGCAGGTTCTTTGAAAAAAGAAGCAAACGCCTTACCATGCAACAGATGATTCCGATTCCGAGAACAGAGAATAGTTAGAAATTTCACCTCATCTGTTCCCCACTTTTTCTCTCCTGCCTCATACAGGTCCTGAAGTCAAACAAAGCACAAGGTTAAAATACTACAGAGGATGTGCCAAGACACAGGCAAAGATTTCCAGAATGTCAAAGAGTTGAGTTGGCAGACTTTAATTTGTTGGTGATGAGGTTAACGGAGTGTTGATGGGGAGTGGAAGTAACTCAGTATGTTCCTTGCGCACACCACTAAATGAGCCCTGTAATAGCTCCCTCAGACTTAGTGTAAACACCAGCAGCCCCCTCCAAGCAGACAACACCATGGCTTTACTTCAGGAGGTAAAGGCCTCAGACTTGAGCTGTCCCAAGCAGCAGCCACCAACCACATGCAGTTATTTAAATTTTAATTAAATTTCTAATTCATAATCAACTTTCAACCAATCACAGAACAACCTTTTGTAAAATACCACAAAAATGTCTTTGAAAAGAGTAATCTTTTTAAATAATAAGTGGAAATGGTACCTTTTGTGTTAAATCTGCTTTTTTTTTTTTTAAATAAGTAGTAAGGAGTCCTGGTGTGGTGTTGTGGGGCTAATACATCAGAAAGCAAAGTCATTTGAACTACAATTTCGGTGGTTCAAGCTCAACCAGCTGCTCCTTGGAAACTCTATACAGGGTCACTATGGGTCTGAATTGACTCAAGGGCACTTAACAACAGCAGTAAGCTTGGACATTTTTCTATAAGCCACGTCTACCTTTTTTGAATTGCCTGCTAATGTACACTGTCCATTAAAAAACAAACAAAAAAACTGGGGAATTCTGATTCTTCTTTACTTATGAAGCCTCTTACATATTGTTTACTACATATTTGGTGAAATTGTTCCCCATTTTATCACCTGACTTTTAATTTTGATTATGATTTCACTTAAACAATTTGCACATTTAAAAAAAGTGTTTCAAACCAGCAATCATTTTTCTTTATGGTTTCTGTCATGTGTCTTTCCCAGACCAAGATTTAAAAAAAAAAAAAAACAACTATATTTTTCTATAGGTACATTTATGACTGCATCTATTTACATTGACATTTTCAGTCAATTGGAATTCAATATGAGATGTCAAGTGAAAGTAGGGGTCTAACTTCATTCTTTCCCAAATTTGTTGTTGTTGTGAAGTGCCATCAAGTTGGTTCCGACCCATAGCGAACCTGTACAGGGTTTCCAACAAGTACCTGGTGAGCTTGAACCACTGACCCTGCAGTTCAAACAGCTTTGCAGTCTGGTGCATTAGCCCATATAGTTAGCCAATTATCTCAATTCCACTGAACAGTTTGTCCCTCTGCCCTCTTGCCTACTCAATGATTTCAAGTGCTACCTGTATGTTCTTATATTTACTGATTCGGCTTCTAAGTCTTCTAATCATTCCACTGATTCTTCTCTATTCTTGCACCAGGACCACATGCTTTATTATACATCTAAATACAGATTAAGGCAAATTTCTCCATATCTTCCTCCTTGCGAGTCTCTAGTGTCTTCCCTGTGCAGTCTTCTCCCATCCCTTGGTCCCTTTCTTCTGAATTTTGGAGACTGTTCAACATTGCTTTCTACAATGATTCTCTTTTCTGAAATTCATTTTGGGTCATCTGCTTCTAATAGACCCTATAATTTTGTTTTACCTTGTCTCATTTAAAAACATTTGTCCCAACTCATCTAGCTCTTTTATTTCTGCATGACCATTTTCATCTCTGTTGTGTTTCAATGCATCTTAACATTCTTAGTTCTTAAGGAATTAAATTCGGTTTTTCTCTCATTTTATTTAGGGTCCAATGCAATTTGAATCTATTTTTGTGGTACCTTCAGTATGGCTATGTTTGTCCCCTTTATGCCTCAGTATTTTCAGAGGATTTGAGTTGAGGACCTGTTGATTTTCCTGCCTATTCATTTCTAATAATGAGCGGTGTATCCAGATCCAGGTTTTCCTCAGAACAAGGTGAATGGATTCTTCTTGGGCTTGCTTACTTTGCATTTGGATGAAATTTCAAGCAGGAGCACTTGCTGCTGGTAGGATCCGACAGGAAACCTATTCCTTCCTGCATAATCCATCTTAATTCAGATTTAACATATTGAAAGGGACCAACTAACCCTTCTCTGTCTTTGTTTATTGGTTAAGATTACAGGGTCTAGATCCAAATTGCTCGAGTTTAAATCTTAGTTCTGCCATTTACTATCTGTATTCTCTGCTGTTGTTAAGTGCCTCAAAGTTGGTTCCGACCCATGGCTACACTCTAGTTCCCCGAGTAATTTCTTGCTATTTGCATGAAGCCACTGTGTCTGCTTCCAACTAGGAGTAGTCAGCTACCTTCCTGGGACAAGAATGGCCCTTCTGTGTAGTCTGCAGGGCATGACAGCTGTTTGTCTTGTGTGCCATTTTGGGGTGGAGAGGGCGGATGTGATGACACTGATAAATCCAGGACTGTAATTCCCTCTCATGATGTCGTTTTGCGTCCTTGCTCCAGACTATGAAATCATTTCCAAGACCTCCAGTGCAAACTGGGAAGGCTCTCTGTTACTGTAATCACTTGGTGACAACACTCAGAATCTAAATTGAATTTGTGTCCAGTTTATCACTCAACCTATTTTTTCATCATTTCAATGGGTACATTCTAGAGTCTTCCATTTTGTGTGGGATTAGATCCTCCCCCCTCCCCTTCAAATGCTGTAATTAACATCACTTAAAACACAATTTGAATAAAATATCTTAAAAACAAACAAACAAAAAACAACAACTGAGAGAAGGTTTGTTGTCCTTTGGTATTTTAAAAACTTTCCTCCATAGTTTCCACTGTTGATGCAGATTTTCCCCTAATTTTAAGTTTCCTGCCCCCTCCCAGGAGGTAGAGAATCAAATATATACCATATTATAGCAAATGTCAGAAGGATATTTTAAAAGTAATTTTACTATGCCATGAATTTCTTCTTAAAGTTGGAATTCTGTACATAGCTTGTTATTTCCTTTATTGCAAGTGACGTCCCAAGATTAGATAAATCTGGTTTTATTAGGTAACAGCTTTTTTATGGTCAAAAATGTCTTACCTATTATATTATTATTACCTAGTTTCACCTGCCCCGAGCAGTCCTTTCATCCCAAACTCATTCACTTTCCTAGATTAAAACCCAGTCATAACACCTAAGCACTGGAAAGATAAGGGGACTGACTCAAAAATTTTGTGGAAAAATAAAATTTTTCCACAAAATTTTTAAGCCCCTTCAACTCCCCTAGCTGCTAATGCAAGTTAAAGAGGCAAAGCTGACAATATTTTCCCACTCATCTACCCTGGAAGAGGTAGCTCTTAGATGGCGTTGTTCGTAACTGTTTTGTCTTTTAGAAGATCCAGAAACATTGTGTTTTGAGTTCTACTGTCTACTGTCCCCAACCTAAACTTGCTTAGAAATAAATACCTTTTCACCTGGTTACTACCAAGGAAAACTGTGCTCATTGAAGAGCTCCAACATACTTGTTGGTTGATTGCATGATTTTAAAAAATCATATAGACCTGGATTCAAAGATCCCAATTCTTCCAGCTATGAGATCTTGGGCAAGTTACTGAAATCTGGACATTAATTTCTGATTCTATAAATTATCCGTAATCATTTCTACTTCACACATTTGTTATACAGAATAAATGACCTATGTAAAATATCAACATAATGCCTGGCACAGAGTAAACCCACCCCATCCCCTATGTAAAATATGAGAGTCTGTAGAAGGCTTCCGGGATCAATTCTTCAATTCTACCTCTTCATTTAATCAGGAATTGATGTAGGCTATAGAGGTTCTCCAGCATGTCCAATTATGTTCTCATTGATGTGCTTAAAATCCACATACACATCTGAGAGTACCAGTATTTTTAGCCTTGAGCGTTTTAGATTGAAGACAACTTCCTGTATCCCCTGTATGGGGAGGGACTCCCAGAGCCCTCACAAACACATCCCCCTCCTAATGAAAGCAACAGGCTCTTCCCTCAAAAATCCGTACTGGTTCAAACTTCACATATTGAATGGAGCCAATTTTTCCCTATGTTTTATGCTGATTAAAAGGAAGGTCTAGATCCAAATTGTTTGGGCTCAAATCTCAGTTCTGCCACTTAATATCAGTGTGAGCTTGAACCAGGGAATTGACTTCTCTGTGTCTCTATAAATAGGGTTAGCAACATTTGCTTCACAGGGTTATTGTAAGAATTCAGTGGCATATAGTTTAGAGCAGTGTTTGATACCAGCCAGCAGTCGCCTTTCATTAGCTACTATTATAAGTGTTGGAGTCCTGGTATGGCACTGTGGGTTAATGCGCTGGACTGTAAGGTAGGTTTGAACCGTGAGATCAGTGGTTCAAGCTCACCAGCTGCTCCTCGGAAATCTTATAAGGGCTTGCTGTGAGTCAGAATTGACTCAACGGCACTTAACAACAACGCATTAGTGGTATCTGGCCACAGCTGATGAGACCAGGGACTGGAACCATTGCAATCATCAATGTGCTCAGTATCAAAACAGCAACAGCTTTTTGGGATTTGATATTAATTTCACCCAACCATTCACACTCTGTTTTGCACAGGTCCAATCAAATGTTCTTTTGAGGGAAGTAAAAATACAAGGTGAACAAAACAAAGGAAAGTCCTAACACCTCCAGGCGATTCTGAAGAAACTCCATCGTTCTCTGGGGGACACACCATGGTCTCAATGTTGAGCAACAGGGAGCCCAGAGGTGCTCTTATCATTCATGAGGTGACATCTAGTATCACTCCTCAGACCCAGGAATATCTGCAAGAAACCTCTACCATCAAGGTCAACTGTAGGAATACTTTTCCTTCGAAATACATCCCTGTCTGTTCAATATACACTGATAAAATGCCAAAAGAGAAGAAAACGACGAAGAAAAAGTTGCAATTCTACCAACCTGGGCATCTTGTTTCACGAGTTGATCATCCAGATGATTTCCTTCATCCCTGCCACCCTGAGAATGAGAAAAATCAACCATATGAGCATATTTGGGGAGATGTAGGAGACACTGTTGAGAGAGAACTGATTGGGAGCCCAAGGACAGAATGCCTCATAGGGCTAGGCTTTGGTCCTGGGGAGGCAAGACAGGCATCCTCTGGATGGGCTCATGTTACTGCTGGAGCTCTGACCTGCACCTAGGGGACATCACCCACCAGAAGGCCCGGTGGGCTTGTACTCCCTAACTGCTGCTTGGCTGGCTGTCCGTGGGGGGACAAGGAAAGGAGGAGAAGAAACGTGCCTGCTCCCTCCACTATTACCACACTGACCCATGCCTTCCTCACTGGCAAACCTACATTGATCAATTTCCACCACAAAGGGGCTGACAACACAGGAAACCCACTGCCTTTGAGTGATTCCAATTCACCATGACCCTATAGGACAGAGTAGAACTGCCCCACTGGGTTTCCAAGCTTGTACATTTTTTAATTTTTTAAATTTAAGGTTTTTATTGTGGATTGAGTGAAAGTTTACAGGGCACGTCATCAGTTTCACATTCAACAATTCATATATCTTGTTTCATTACATTGATTATAATCCCCTCCATATACCATCAGTTAAAAGTATTTCTCTCTATCCACTTTAGCTTTTTTAAAA